AAAAAAAAAGTTTATATTTAGAGTCCGCGTCGCCAGTAAAACTTAATTTGCGACAGTAAATCTGCAAATGTTGTAGATCCACTGTAATAGCTGCAACATGGGTCACTATCGGGCAACATTCGTTTTGTCTGCGACACATGATGCTGTTATACCAGAAGGTCTGCCACATATATGCAGGACTTTTACTATATACATGATACACATGAAATCAATTTTCAGTTTTAGCCGATTACAACTCATTTGGATCCAACTTTGTTGACATCGACGGAGTAGTATACGGATTATATCCGGTGACTGGAAACAACACCAACTCCCAACAGAAGTGTGAGTCATACTCCGGAAGGCTAGCTATTTTGGACACACCAAGGAAAATCAGGATTTTAACTGCTGCAACTAAACATTGGGGTAAGCAAAAATAGCAGTCAATATTTTAAGTATAACACTTCACACGGGTAAGCGATGTTAAATGGACCTAGGTAACAATGCGCGTGCAAATAAAAAAAACCAAGAGAATACCAAATTGTTATCAAAATCATAATGCGATCTCAAAATCGATAGAATGAGGGCAAAATATGTACCAATGAGAGATTAGGGAACCTTGAAAAGATACAAGAGCATAAGACCACGTGTTCCGGAAGGGAACGCGTCTGCTGCTTCATCGATGATACCCGCCATGTAAATCTAAGTCGAATCGCAGTGATATCACGTCCTCACATCGAGAGCATGGGTAGTGACAACAACACAAAATCACTCTAACGAGCATAATCAAAAGTTATAGACCTTCCCGTCACACATAGAAATCGCTTATTCCCCTTTAAAAACCTGATTGTGACCATACAGTTGTATATAGTCTTCGTCAATCATCATGTTTGGAAACCCTGTGTTGCAAGTTTGTTCGGGAATGTTCGACATTTATCACGGAAGTCACAATATTTAGAGCAAGTTTGTAAGTACCGATTTCATTGCAACTTGAAGTCACCATAGGTAAGGGAATCAGGCAGTTGCTATCAAGAAAGGAAAAGTTCAATACAAGAGAGGCGATATTCTGTAACGTATCGTGTTGCTTAATAGTTAGTCGTCCCTGTTGGTTATGTTATGAGTAAAAATCGAGGAACGCGGCAGAAGCTGAAGTCTATGATGTCCTTGATTTCAAATAATTATTACAATTAATATAATTCACCCTTAATTGAAGATTTCATAAATTGTGCTTGTAAATATTGAAAATATGTATATATGTAGAATCAGATTTTTATTAATGCTGGAATGCTAGTAACCATTGTCTTACATATATTTGTGGGTATATTTCGTTAGAATATACGTACTACTTTTTTGGTATCAAGAAACAACTCAGACTATACAATATATGAAAATGGCACTTTATTTTATTTAAAAGCAACCATTACAATTCAAAGAAACTACTACACGATATGGAACAAAACAATAAGTCAGCTAGCCTTAGTGTGGTTACCAAAGGAATGCCCATCACCCCTTATATCAAAAATGCGTAAGGTAGCGTAAGTGGGCAAGTAGTAGGAGGGTATATTACATTCAAAATCTCCGATGCTTCCAGATGTTTTAAAAGATTACTGCCGAATGAGAAAAGGGACGTGATCTCTAAAGCCAAAGGACCAATCGTTGAATAGCGTAATTATATCTATCATCGGTGCATTATACTGTAATATCAGATATTTTCGTGGGGCAAAGTTTCATGGTTTTCCCAAAAACTATCATTTCTTTGGTACAAGAATTCCTGGATTACGAGTACCCACTCAAACGGATAATCGATTTGTACCAAACTTGTTATTACTTATAGACCTATGAATTTATGAATGAAGATGACAAACGACGTAAACGGAATTAAAAAAAAGGCTCACGAAAATGAGTGATTTCACAGTAATTAATAACAGTTAGTTTATCTCTATGGCGTCACGACCAAAACTCGAGCAAAGTACTTAGATGTCTTTGAATTAAATGATACATGTAACACACTCCTTGTTCTGTTTAAGGTGACTTATTCTGGTGGATTGATGGATACAAAACAGCAAGTGGAGAAATGAAGTGGTCCACGGGAGAGCTTATGACACAAGTGAGTGCCACACAACCAAATGAAAATTGTGTTGTACTCATCAGCAGGTTCGGCCGTTTAGTCGACGCTCAATGCAGCTGGTCATGTCCGTGCGTGTGTGAGATGTGACATCCAAAAGCTGACAGTTATGTTATATCTAAAATGTCTGTTTTATCGCGGAGTTTTCATGTTATTTAAAACTTCAACATTGATATTCGTCTGTGAAAACACACCTTGTCGAACAACGCCTAGATTAAGTTGCTTGAAATATTACTACACATTTATTACTACGCCATTACTACGTCCCGTTTGTGTGTGTTATGCCATAGCAGTGTTTTCCAATTGGCATGTTGATCTCAGACGACAGTAAAAGTTTTGAGTCCTCGACTTTCACGATGTGTACACCACCAGGACTGTAGACAGAGGCAGCCACTGTGTGGTTGTCCACCAGACACACATCACAGGGATCTCCTTCCACTACCAACTCATCCAGGAACTGTCCGTTGTCAGTAAACAGTTTCATCTTTTTGTTGTTGCTCTCACTTATCAGTATTTGGTCATCCTGAAGAAACAGCACACCACGCGCATTACTAACTACTGAATCCGACGGCGTCTGTATGTAGACTTTTTCAAAACGTTTCGCGCGACGTCCCAACATGAGAGAATAAGTTTGCTTCTCAATAACAACCTTTCCAAAAGCGTTATCTACGAGGTCTGGAACGATTCCATGTTTCATACTGACGGACGTGAAGGACTTGCTTATCTCTGTGAACAAGGCTTCAAACGACTCTACTTCTGCCCGTCCTCTCTGATACAGCACTATCGTCTCAATGTTGTCGTTTTCTTTTACAGCTTTAATGGACGACTTCATAGTATTAAGCATACTCTTCATCAGACGTTCACACTGCCGTGATGTGGTCTCGATATTCCTCTTTTCTTCATTAAACAGCCTGGCCAACTCGTCTGTGAGGGCCCTTTGAAGCTTATCTAGGCGTCTATCGACTCTTTCGCGTGTATCTTCAACGCTCTGTACAACAGTTTCTTGGTTATTTACCATAGTTTTCAGCTGTTCGTCAAATTCCTTGATTAATAATTCCATGGCTTTTTTCCCTTCTTTCAATGCCACTTGGATGACTGCAAATCGCGTTGCTGCTTTTAGTTCATTGTAATATTCTGTCGCTGTTTTTACTTTTTCACAAAGCCTGTGCTCTTTTATTATACATATGTTGCATCCCAGAAGCCTGTGGCTTTCACAAAACAAACTCAACTTTTTGTCGTGCGTGTCACATCGAGGAACAGATTTTTCCTTGTTTTGTTGTATTACTTCAGACATGGTGATATCTCGGATCTGTGCTGCCCATTTGTCCATAGATTCTGCTCGATTGACTGGCGAGGTCATCCTCCTACAGACCGGACAAGGGAAGGATGTTGCCGACGCAATTTTCTCGGACAATTCCTTGGTGATATAGGTTCCAAGACAATCCTGACAGAAAGAGTGGTGACAGGGTAAGGACTTGGGCTCCTGAAATCGTTCCAAGCAGATTGGACACTCAAGTAAATGCTGGTCCAATTCCGGAGGGAGTCCATCCTCAGCCATGAAGAAAGTCATCTCAGTTTAACTGTATCCTGAAAATATATTAAGGGCATTCTACATGCTGAATTTATTTTAGAGATAAAACCTTGTCCTCTTAACATTATCATGTTGTTTTAATCATTATAATTAAATTCGTTAACTTTTCTGAACCATTGTTTCCTCAATTCATCCAAAATAGTAGGCATTACGTTGTCTTATATAGCTGGCCATATAAGATGTTTTTCCCATGATAGAAAGTCATGTAAGATGAATATTTGTCTTACAAGAGACAGGTGTATCCGGAATTTTGCTGGTGTGAGATATTCCTGTCTCACCCTAGGGTTGAAACGGTAATTCCCCAGTCGAAACAATTGCAGACGTCACGTAAACATTTCATTTAGCATGAAACATCAACGTCTTATTATCAATATGACAAGGGCAACAGAAAAAGAATAACTCACTCCATTGTGGTAAGATAGGGGAATCTCAACCCTCGGTAACTATTCTCAAATTACCAAAGACTCGGCAAACCTCGTGTTTAAGTAACTTAAGTATATCCCCCTCGGGTTGTGATTTCCCTATCTCATTCCAAGGCGGTGAAAGTTTCTATTAATCTTAAATGGACATAACGCTTAAACGATGAAGTGGCGTCATGCTGCAACAAGTGTGACGTCATTCCAATCTAATTTGCTGTATTTTATTTTCTAGTTCAAGTGCATGTACTTCATCCTCATTTATTGCAATTTTATATATAATTTGAAGTTTATTTAATTTTTGTATAAACCAAACTATGGAGCGCTTTGCTAGAGGTAAAGACCATTTGAAACCGGTTCGGTATAAAAGATGATGCTATTTTTCTACAAAATAAAGTTGCTCACTTGCTACAAGACCGCGGCAACAAGTTTTGTGAGCATTTTTTTTTAGGTTTCGAAGTATTTATGTATGTGAAGCACGCCCTGTTTAGAAAAAAAACATTTAAATCAAACAGTGTCAGATGAAATCAATGTTTAGTTTGTGCGTATGTAAACTTTCTTCAAAATACCGGGTAAAACATGGCGCCAATCATCGTAATATCTTTATCAGTTTGATTGGTAATATTTTCATCTGTAAAACTGTTGTTATTAAACTTTAAACAATGAGGTTTCGCAGTGTCATTAAAAACAAGGATGTCAATTCACATATTTCCCTCAAAATAATACTTTGCACGAGATTTCTGCTACCCGGCTTCAATATGTTTCCTCTTATCAAGCTGCGTAAAACCCAAAACAAAATATTCAATACCAGCTTAAACCAAAGACTTACTTTAAGCGGGGAAATGTGAGAATTATTATGCTATCTATTATATCAGAAATAATTATTACAAATTTTAACTGTCAAAATACAAGATCGTTGCCTAACCCCATCTTGTTTGTCCTATCAATCTCATATGAGCTTAACAAAATATGTCAAATACTTTCTGAGAAATGTTGATTATAGAGTTAACCTGTTAAAACCGAACATGCACAATTATAAAACTTGGGAAACCTCCATTTGAAATGTGAAAGTGGACTTATAAATAGGTGTAACGAAAATGAACTAGAAAAAATAATACCTATCTGCCTGGCTGGTACATTATGCATCTATTACTTATTTAGAACTAGCGATAACAAAAATGTTAAGGACGG